TGCTGCTGCTGCTGCTGCTGCTGCTGCTCGCGGCGCAACTCTGTGACAAAGTCCAGGTGCTTCTGCAGACGCAGCAGCATCATAGAGGGGAGAGAAACTGCTGCTGCTCCTTTCTCAGCAGAGTCTTGCTGCTGCTGCTGCTGCTGCTGCTGCTGCGGCTGCTGCTGTGGCTGCTGCTGCTGCTCTCCAAGCAGCCATTGTTGCTTCTCCGAAAGCTGCTTACGCTGCTGCTGGCTTTGCTGCTGCTGCTGTTGCTGCTGCTTCTGCTGCTGCTTCTGTTTTTGTTGCTGCTGGTGCTGCTTCACCTGCTGCTGCTGCAGCTTTCTTTGCTGCTGCTGCTTTTGCTGCTGCTTCTGTTTCTGCTGCTGCGGACGCTCTCGCACTGAGGCATTGCTGTCTTCATTGCGCCAGGTCTCTCTCTGCTTCTCTTGCTGCTGCTGCTGCTGCTGTTGCTGCTGCTGCTGCTGCTGCTGCGGAGGCGCCTGGCGATCCAGTTGCTGCAGCACCCACTCCTGCAGCTGCAGCTCCTCCTGCACGTTCATTGTGCTGCTGCTGCTGCTGTTGTTGCTGCTGCTGCTGCTGCTGCTGCTGCTGCTGCGTGCAGCAAGAAGCAATCGCGAGACTTCTCCATGTGTCTCGCTGCAGCCGCCGCACCTGCTGTGCTGCTGCTGCTGCTGCTGCTGCTGCTGTTGCTGCTGCTGCTGCTGCTGCTGCTGATGACACAGTGCTCCGCTGTTAAGCGCAGTCAGCAGCGCAGCCGCATGCATGGGGAACTGCAGCAGCAGCTGCAGCAGCAGCAGCAGCTAGTGTTGCTGCTGTCGGCAGCAGCTCCCTCGGTGTTGCTGCTGCAGTTGCTGCTGCAGTTGCTGCAGCAGCAGCAGCAAAGACAAACCACAGATTGACTTTCCCTGCCACATTAATCATTTGAAATGCCTGATAAGGGCTGCACCACTAGCAGCAGCAACAAACAGCAACGCCTCTCTCCTCCTCATCCCCCTACAAAGGTCCTTTGCTGCTGTTTTA